CACTTCTTCTTCTTCTGCTTTGGCTTTACTGGCAGGCCACAAACCACTTCACGGCGAGTACAGTAGGTGGCGGTATGCACCTTAAAGTTGTTTGCAATCCGCTACAAAACAAGACAAGAAGCAGAAGAAAAACTTCCAGCGTATACTGTCTGTTGTTTACCTTCCGACCTCAGACATGATGGAGATGGAGTCGACTGAAGTTGTGCTGTTTGTGCTCATGTTATACAGCTTTGTAACTTCGTTAATGCGGCCTGAGCCAGAGCCTGAGCCTGAGCCTATTAGGCGTCCGACACAAATCCGGAGCCGCCACACGTCGAATGCTATAATCTCAAAGTTTCTTCAGCATCAAAGGCAGTTTAAAAGCCTTAGGAAAAGGATTGGCCGACGGAAAGCACACATGACTGCCATGTTTCACCGTAGGATGGCTGATGACGATGAGCGTTTTCACGCCCTAAGAACAGCAATGGTAAGTTCAGTAAATTATTAATACTATCTAATGTAGGATTTGTGGAGTTATGTAGAGCTAATTTGCGCCTTTGTATGTGTTCCAGATATGCAAATACTACGGGACGCGTCGTGTCCCGAGCTCTCTCTGGGTGAACAATAGAACATCGGCCTGATGGGAGAACGTGGTGCCAACGTACACCGATGTGCAGTGGATCCAAGATTTCCGAATGTCCAAGCACTCTTTCCAATACCTCTGTAGTCGCCTGGAAGCAACGTTGGGGAGACGCGACACCAACTTCCGGGAGTGTGTCCCTGTGGCTAAAAAAATCGCCATAGCACTGTGGAAACTTGCGACCAACTCTGAGTACAGGACCATCTCTCATTTGTTTGGAGTCGGCAGATCTACAGTGTGTTACTGTGTGCACGAGTTCTGCTCCTCTGTTGTGAGCATACTCCTTTGTGAGTTCATGCCATGGCCGAACGCTGAGAAGTTAGAGGAGATGGCGTTATTTTTTGAGCGCAGATGGGGTGTGCCACAGTATGTAGGTGCAGTAGATGGATCACACATCCCCATTCTGAGACCAGAGGAATACCACAACGAGTATTTCAACGGCAAAGGCTGGCACTCGCTCGTCCTGCAGGGTGTTGTGGATGGTAGAGGCCTCTTTTGGAATGTTTTTGTTGGCTTACCAGGTAGCATGCATGATAGCAGAGTGTTTGGCATGTCATCACTGTGTAGTTTTGTGGATAAGGGTGGTCTACTTCCTCATGTAACAAAGAATATTGGTGGACATGATGTGGGTTACTATATCCTTGGTGACTCAGCCTACACCCTGCAAAGATGGCTGATGAAACCTTTCCAAGGAAGGCTCACACCCGAGCAACTTGTGTACAATCACAAAACAAGCCGAGCACGAGGGGTGGTGGAGAACGCTTTTGGCAGACTGAAGGGCAGGTGGCGGTGCTTGATGAAAAGAAACGACTGCAAGATGGACAAGATAAAAATCCAGGTGGCAGCATGTTGCGTGTTACATAACCTTTGTGAAAGTAATGATGATGAGTACAGGGACGAATGGACTGCCTTACCGGCGACCCAGCTTGATGGGCCAGCGCCAGCCATTGCCGAGGCTGGGGGGCCAGACACACGCACAGCCCTTATGAGGCATCTGAACAGCGTGTAAATTGTACATTGTAAACAATAAATGTAAACATTGACAATAAAGCTGATCATTTCTACGGTGCTTTTGTTTCTCTCTTTCATTTTGCAGTCAAGACAGGCAACATTACAATAGTGTAATAGTAGCCAAAACTAACATACATGTTAGTAACTAAAGTGTCAGTTGTACATGTCAGTAAACATTGTCAATATAAAATAAAGTGTCAGTTGTACTATATAATAACAGTAATAACAATATAAAATAAGGATCTGTTTAATCGCCATGTCGGTTTTCTTTATTGCACTCTCAAGACATAACATGAAATAGAACAATGTTTATGTCGTAACTCTTCTATTATACGGCTCTGCTGTCAACAAATCTTGAAAACGGAGACGAGGGGAATGTAGAAATTGGTAAATAACTTCAGAAATGTATTGATAATTTTTCTGCTTTTTAATGTAAACTTGAATTCATAGTAAACTAGCTGCTCATTCTCATTCATGTGATATGATTTTATTCAACCTCTTATTCAGGGACTCAAATGATTTATACCCTTACATTACCCATTAGAATGTATTTTCCTTTCACTTTTAGATAACTGCCATCAGTAAACCTTGCTCCCCCTCCCTTCAGCATTTACAAGAAATGCACCTTGTTCTTCTAAATGCCACAAAAACCTGCAGATTGTGGTTAGCACTTTGAACTGCAGCTCTCAGTTTCGGTTCATGACAGGATGCGGCAGTTAAGCTCAGATGCTGTGAAGCAGAGAAAGGTCAACTTTGAATGAACAGTTAGCAGTTGAAGATTGTTCAAGTCTGAAGATTTTCTCCATTGACTTCAATGGTTAAAAATGTGATGAATTATGGGATGTATCTCACGAATTATGAAAGTTATGAATGATAAAAGTAATAGCCATCGATTCCCGACCGAGCTGAACGTTTTGATGTTTGAACGGAGTTTCTGCGATGTTGAATACAGGAGGAGAAGAGGTGCAAAATTCCGGCGGAATAATAATAATTTTGTCCGTAGAATAACATATAGTTGAAATGCTGTATCAGCATTCCCACTAAACAAGTTGTTCTTCAATGCCTTAGGAATTAAACTCACACTGTTGAATCCTCATATAAACTTCAACTCAAAGTGGTTTTGCTGTATTCAAGATTGTAGTGTACGGTGCAAGGGATTCATTTTAAGTTCTGATTCCCATAATGCTGTTCTCTGGGGAGCTCTTCCCAGCTTCAGTCTTCCCCTCCATCATAATCCTGAGCAGCTCATCATTGTATTTGATATCTGAGAAGAAGGCTGAACAAAATAAACAATTTCCAAAAATTCAATGCGTTGGAAAATGTCAATGCACAAACAGGATTTATTTTCAGACACTGAGACACAGTCCAGATGAATGCAATTTTAGATGCTACTTTTATTGACAATTTATAGTTTGACTCCAGCTCCTTCAGCAGCTGTTGTGTGGGACTGATCCACACTGTTACAGCAGCCTGAACTTTGTCAAAGTGTTTTCAAAAGAAACATTGACAGACTGATTCAGCATACAACATAATAGTGATTAACTGACCATCTTCCTTTTTGTACTGACATTTATTTCCCCTCTAGGCTTTCATGTTCATGTGATATGATATTATTCAACCTCTTATTCAGGGACTCAAATGATTGATACCCTTACATTTCTCATCAGAATGTATTTGTCTTTCATTTTTAGATAACTGCCCTCAGTAAACCCTGCTCCCCCTTCCCTTCAGCATTTACAAGAAATGCCCCCTGTTCTTCTAAATCCCACAAAAACCTGCACGTACAGAGTGAAGCCAGGCCTTTGAATTGCAGCTCTTAGTCTGAGGCCCTTATACTCCCAGTAGGGAATGAGTCCTCAGAAAGTATTTGCAGACATTAATCATAAATAATAAATGTTTTAAGACTGAGATATAGTCAAAATATGTTAGAGATTGTGTATGTTAATTTAAATGTCTGTATATTTTTTTACACAGCCGCTTTAGCCGCTATCCTGGCTCGGGTCAATTTGAGCTGAACAGTACCAAAGAGTGCAAAATGTGAACAGAACACAGGGGTTAATTAATTCTTTAAACTTTAACGTAATCATTTACATTGTAGGAATGTAACTGAGTATTCATGGGCCCCACAACATAACGTATACATGTACACATACACACACTGATTTCAAATACAGGAAACCACAGACTGAGTTGCAATATTTTATTGACATTCTTGAGTTCCATTACATAAAAGTACATTTTTTAAATGCATTTTGGTTCAGACATTTCATTGTGGTTAAATGCATGGAAATGGCAAAACCCGAAGATACATCAAAAACTCTTTACTAAATATTTAAAATGGTATTTTATTTAATAAGTCTGAACCTGCCTAAACTCTCATTCAGAGGTTGGAACATTTCTTTGTCATATTCAGATATTAAATGTGGGGTAGATAAGTTTGAGAAACCGGCTCGAGATACACTTTTTGTTATATTCCATGGAATGCTCTTAACATCCCGATAGCAATGAATATCTTCAGTGCTTTGACAAAAAATCCATTAAAAAATGTCATCTGTGGAAGCCGTAGTACTGTAAAAAGTACGACCAATCATTTTAGCCAGCCCGGCTAAAATAACTGGATGGCCTACCTGCCTGTCAGCCTTCCATCTGTGCACAAACTTATCTCGTGCCCTCATTGGTCATGTGCGCGTTCGTGTGTGTTGGAGGAGGGGCTCTGTAAGGAAGTGGCAGATTTTCTCCGGCTGTGTATTTTCAAATTCTAGCGCACTCAAGCTGGTTTCTCCAAAATGACATACCCCACCTTTAAATGTGAGCTCATCCTCCATTTCTTATTTCACCATCCGCCCTCTGGAACATTTCAGTTTCTTCATTCTTCTCTGCTTTATTTCTGATCTTGTTAAACAGATCGTTGAGGAGTTTATCATCATCAAGCTCACAAGACTGCTGGAGATTTGAGAAATGTTTAACGTTTTCTCTTTCCCCATCACTACGCTGTTACTATCTGTTCATTGTGAGCTTTGAAAAGCTACATGTCTTTATATAAATATGTCATTAGGTGAATTACACTCAACACTAGAAATATGATTTATTGACCTAACATTTAAATACAGACTACATTGCTGACATCACAGTTTATTGATGTCTTAAGTTACGCTACAGTGGGACGTTTAATCAATTAAGATGTAGGAACAATCTGCTGCCTTTATAAACAGAAATGTAGCTCAAATTCATTTCCAGTTTACTTTTAATGGCTTCATGTACCTAGAAATAGTTTTTTCTATGATGTCATGAAAAAAATGAATTGAGACCAAGTTGTGAATTAAACTGACATTTCTAATAAGATAGACCCTTAAAACTTTCTTTGAAATCCTTTATTAAACAACAAAAGCACATTACACCCTCAATGTGAAGTCTACAGTCTTTTATTATAGGACATTATTGATTACTATGTTTGTCTTTACACATTCATTTCTGTTCCAAACTTTTCATATTGAATTACAAAATTCATTGCATACACACATTTTAACCTTTTGATTTGACAGAAGCCAACATTACGCCAGTTACAGGAAAGCCAAAGAAAACGTATCCATATAACATCTTAAAAGCATCAATTCATGATATATCATTCGTTATACTTTTTTCTTGTAAAAGCAAAAGCTATCAAAGAATAAATTAGTACATTACGACATTACTATAGTTTAGAATGTTAACATCTTGGTTGTTGACAATCAGTCATCCTGTTATTATTTAATTGCAACTCACCACTGAAATAACTGATATTACTATAAATCACATCAAACAACAAAATCAAAAAGGTGACTGTGAAGATTAACAGGGAGGTATTCCAGAGGGTCAGACTGTATCATGGAAACCAGTGCGACTGTTAGATTATCAAAACCAAGAACTGAAAACTTTCCAACCTGTTTTCGCAATGGAACAAATCTCGTCAATTATTGTAGGGCTCTCCTCAGCATCCTTCCTGGCCCTCCTCTCCTCCTCTTCTCTTATTCTCCTCCTCTCCTCCTTCATTTCTCTTTTGCCAGCTGCTTTTAGGCTTTCATCTTTTACTGTCATTCTCCTCATCTCCTCCACCATTTCTATTTCTATTTTGTTAGCTTCTCTCAGCCTTGCCTCCTCTTCTCTCATTCTCATCATCTCCTTTTCCATTTCTATTTTGTTAGCTTCTCTCAGCCTTGCCTCCTCTTCTCTCATTCTCATCATCTCCTCCATTTCTGTTTTGCCAGCTGCTTTTAGGATTAAATTCTCTTCTCTTATTCTCGTCATCCCCTCCTCCAATTCTTTTTTGTTAGCTGCTTTTAGGCTTGCATGCTCTTCTCTAATTTTCCTCATCTCCTCCTCCATTTCACTTTTACGAGCTTCCAACTGCCTTGCTAACCTCTCATTATCCTCTTTGATTTGTTTGAATTGTTTCTCATACTTTTTCGCTATTTTCTTTTCAATTTCCTCTTCCCGTTTGCATATTTCTTCTTCTCTCTCTTTAAGGATTCTCTGTCTTTCCTCTTCTAGCTCCCTCTCTGCCGCCTGGAACATTAAACTGGTGTAATGGCTTCCTCCGTTCTTATCTGCTATGTTTCTGATCATGTCGAGCAGCTCTCTGACCTGAGAACGATCCTTCAACTTATTATTGAAGACGTGGTACTGCCCGTTACATCTGTTCACAAGTTCCTGCAGCTCTTTGCTACCCTTCAAGAACTCTTCAATAGGTTGGTCTTCGAGCTGGTCACCGCAGGTAAAGAGAACCATGCTGTATCTGTTTGCATCTTCTCCAAAGATTTCCTGAATCTTCTGCACTGTCTGTTTTTCTTCATCTGTGAATCTGCCCAGTCTGATGACGACCAGGAAGATATGGGGTCCAGGAGAAGCAAAACCAATGCTCTGTGCAACGTTCTTTCTGGTCTCCTCTTCTTCAATCTTGGTGTCAAACAGACCAGGAGTGTCAATAACCTTAACTATTTGTCCATCAACGTCACTAATGGCATTAGAACAGTTTACAGTCATGGATTTAGCAGAGAACTTTGATTCAAACTGCTTTTTTCCCAGAATGGTGTTTCCTGTGGCGCTCTTCCCAACACCGGTCTTCCCCACCATCACAATCCGGAGTACCTCGTTATTGTACGTGTTCGATTCTGATCGGTGGGCTGAAAAAAATGAAGAAATATTTAGCAATCTAGGTATTTATAAAATGGTTCAACTACCAAATGAACAATGTTGACAGTGAGGGGGGTGGGCTCAATAACGTTTAATAATCTAGAATATGTGTAGAATCTATGTCATTCAATTGATGTTTTTCATTTATTCCTGTAGACGCTATTGGCACCATAGAAAGGGTTTATTAGGTGAATGGCAGGTTTGGTGATAAAGGTAGTGGGTCTGTCAATGTCAAGTGATGCACCTTGAAGGGACCTTGTTTTTCCTTTACCGGAGCAAGAGAGAGGCACCATGATGAACACAAATACTGGAAATTAAAATCAAACTAAATGGTAATCTTGCCTGGATGTTTGACTTCTTAATTGCGTACAACCTGAACTGAAATGGTGCAGCAGTGGCCTCTAGCTGTACATTAATCTTAATGAGAAAACTTTTTTGACAGATAAAAAAGTAGTTAATAGTTTAGTTTCTATCTTTCATACTTATACAAATCACCCCATTTTGGGCCTAAACATTTTTTTTAAAGGTATAAATTGCCTTTAGTTATAATCAGGAGCCCAAACAAACTTCTGACTGGCTACCCCTAAATATTCTTATTATTCTTAATAAGTTTCATGTAGTCTTGTGAACATTTTGTAAAATCAAGTAAAAGCAGTGATGCATTCCCAACATTGGGAGTGTATCACCCAGGCTCTCAAAATGCTTGGAATTTAATTTTTATTAGACTGTTTTGATCAGTTCATTATTAGGAAATATGACCACCTACATATCCAATCTATAAATATGTATTTAGATAAATTGCAATCATCATCAACGATAAAGTTTATTCACTTACCATTTTGGGCATGTTTGCTGGCCATAGTTGGTTATGGAGGGAGGAGCTGGTCTGCTGCTGAGCTGAGGAAGTGAAGTTAGTCTGCAACAACACTTCCTTAAATACAGACTTCATGAAGCAAACCACACCCACACACACTGCTGACATCACAGTCTGAAGTTCAGCTCCAGTGGGATGAAATATAGCCTGTTTAAAAGAACAACTGTCATTTCTTGTAAATGCTGATGGGAGGGTGAACTGTTTCTAGTTATCTAAATGAACGATGAACATGCAGGTGGACTTGATATACAAGCTGTGCTAAAAACAGACAATAAACAATAAAGGACGTGAATCAACACATTCCAACGATCAATGAAGAGCTGTGAAAAAACAGCCGTGAAACTATGAATGTGTGTGAACGGGTGAATGCTGATGTGTAAAGAACATTGAGGGCTGATATCTAAAATATGTTGTCTGTTCAATTTTAAAAAATCTGAACACGTTAGGCTATATTTCCCATTGTTCTGTTTATTAAGCCAGGGTAAGATGTTAAACATTTTAATCTATGAATCATCCCACTGGAGCTGAACTTCAGACTGTGATGTCAGCAGTGTGTGTGGGTGTGGTTTGCTGCATGAAGTCTGTATTTAAGGAAGTGTTGTTGCAGACTAACTTCACTTCTTCAGCTCAGCAGCAGACCAGCTCCTCCCTCCATCACCAACTATGGCCAGCAAACATGCCCAAAATGGTAAGTGAATAAACTTTATCGTTGATGATGATTGCAACTTATCTAAATACATATTTATAGATTGGATATGTAGGTGGTCATATTTCCTAATAATGAACTGATCAAAACAGTCCAATAAAAATAAAACTCCAAGCATTTTGAGAGCCTGGGTGATACACTCCCAATTTTGGGAATGCATCACTGCTTTTACTTGATTTTACAAAATGTTCACAAGACTACATGAAACTTATTAAGAATAATAAGAATATTTAGGGGTAGCTAGTCAGAAGTTTGTTTGGGCTCCTGATTATAACTAAAGGCAATTTATACCGTTACAAGTTTTTTTAGGCCCAAAATGGGGTGATTTGTAGAAGCATGAAAGATAGAAACTAAACATGTTGTAGTGACTATTTGTAAAAAAAAAATCTTATTAAAATAAATGTACAGCTAGAGGCCACTGCTGCACCATGTCAGTTCAGGTTGTACACAGGCAATTAAGAAGTCAAACATCCAGGCAAGATTACCATTTAGTGTGATTTTAATTTCCAGTATTTTTGTTCATCATGGTGCCTCTCTCTTGCTCTGGTAAAGGAAAAACAAGGTCCCTTCAAGGTACATCACTTGACATTGACAGACCCTCTACCTTTATCACCAAACCTGCCATTCACCTAATAAATGCTTTCTATGGTGCCAATAGCGTCTACACAGGAATAAATAAAAAATATCAATTGAATGACATAGCTCCTAGACATGTTCTAGATCAGGGGTCGGCACGCGTGCACCGTAACCAGTGGCACACTAGGAATAAGTGGAATAAGTGTGCAAAATATTTAAATTGTATTTTCGGATCCTGAACGAGACCGCCGCCAGAGCGCGTCTCCCCGTTACCTGCAGAAGGAAGCCATGCACGCAGCGCAGCCCCGCTCTCTTTAACTCCAGGTGACTTTCTGCCGCTTTCCTCCGTGGTGCAGGGCTGATCGTTTCACCACAGAGGAAAGCACTTCACAAATTGCAGTACCCATAAGGAGCTTTACAAATGCCGCAGTTTTTGCGTGGCTGTGTCTTTAGTTGAAAGCCCAGTGGCGATCTGCTCATCTCTCATTGAAATAATATGCTACAAAGGGGCGGACTGGCCATCTGTGTGTTGAACTTTCCTGTCGGCTCCCAGACCGTAGTCGAGGAGGGCAGAAGCAACGAGCTTCAGGTTCAATAACCCACTTTAGCTTAAATGACTGGAGAGAGGCGAGCTCTTCTTGAGAGGCCGTTGCATTTATTTAGCTGTTCTTCTGTTTCACAAAATACATCACAGACCTCTGTTTTTCTGCTGCCTCGTTTCACTTCCAGAAACATACACACACACCCTCACTGTCGCTCTACAGCCTGAACAAATACTAGAACAATATGCATCCAAAACATATTAACAAAGTTTAAAAAATAACCGGTGTTGTTTTTTGGTTTTTCGGAAAACCAAAAAACCGACGTTATTCAGTTTTTAAACCAAAACGGGAAAACAGATAAATCAACGTTTTGGTTTTGTTTGTATGATTTACGGATAATCCAGTGAATGCTGGGAAAACGAGGAGAAGGCGCATTATGAAAGAGATGTCCGGTCGCCTGTGTGCACTCCCGACAGCATTTAGCACTACATCGAGATTAAGATTAAACTAATTTATTTTGGGAACAGCCGCATATATGCCGGTGTCGGACAGACACAAACACACCGAACACACAGAGCTGAACTGAGCAGAGCACATGCACACACACATCATGCGCCTTGGTGACTGACTGGACATCTCCTTCATAAAACTAATAAAAGGGGGAGTAATCGGGCAGTTCGATGTGTGTAGATGTGTGTGTGGTTAACACGTAGCAGCCTGCAGTCACTCTTAAACTGTTCTGATTAAGTTAAACACAGCGAAGGCGGTGCGTAAAAAGGCACAGCTCTTTACCGAGTATACGTCCCGCTGCCTCCTGATGCTGCAGCCATTTCATGAAGTGAAGGAGGGTTTCCTTCTATAAAACAGCTGCGGGCAGCAGATACCGTGAGAGTCCCGGACATTAATTCATAGATCAAGGCAGACTGGTTTACTCTCCTGTTTTGCCAATCCGGTGCTTAAACAAATAGCTCTACACCCCTGGCCGACATGTCCTTAAAATGAAGTCCGAGTTTGAAATATATCTCAAATAATGTATGCACCACCATTTCCCCACATAAACATAACAGTCTGCAATCAAACGGTTGTCTCCTGTGCGCTCCTCTTCCTACTTGGCGCACCGGTAACATGCTCGTGCGCACAAGAGGCTGAGACCTTAGGCTGAGCCGCCGAATCCCTCGGAACATCATAAAAGCCATTTTCAACGGTTTTCTGGTGAAAGATTAACTAGCTACTGGATGAAATAATATGACTGATGGCATAGGTGCGAAAATTATTAAAAAATATTATGATAAAATATTTTTATATATTTATAATTCTGCAAATATTACGATAAACTCACAGCTATTTCGCGGCCCGGCAGTAACACCTCCGCGGACCGGGGGTTGGGAACCCCTGTTCTAGAGAATCACAGAACGGACGATCGTCCTTATTATTATGCCGTTTAAACCAATTATTTAAATGTGTTTGTTAAATTCGGCATCATGGAAGTTGTGTTGACAGGTCCACACACTGCTTCCCCGCAGCGAGGCCCCCCCGCCCTCCTGTTGATAGTTCACGTGCGTCAAGCTCCTCAACCCCCCCCCCCCCCCCCCCCGTTGATAATTCTCGATCGTTGGCACGCTGATAACAATTTTTTTTTTTAATGGCACTTCATATCAAAAAGGTTGCCGACCCCTGTTCTAGATTATTTAAACCATCTTGAGCCCCCCCTCACTGTCAATATTGTTCATTTGGTAGTTGAATCATTTTATAAATACCTAGATTGCTAAATATTTCTTCATTTCTTTCAGACCTCCCATCAGAATCAAACATATACAATAACGATGAGCTCCGGATTGTCATGGTGGGGAAGACCGGAGTTGGGAAGAGTGCCACAGGAAACACCATTCTGGGAAAAGAGTCCTTTGAATCAAAGTTCTCTGTTAAATCCATGACTGTAAACTGTTCTAATGCCTTTGGTGAAGTTGATGGACAAATAGTTAAGGTTATTGACACTCCTGGTCTGTTTGACACCAAGATTGAAGAAGAGACGACCAGAAATAACGTTCTTCACAGCATTTCTTATGCTTCTCCTGGACCCCATATCTTCCTGGTCGTCATCAAACTGGGCAGATTCACAGATGAAGAAAAACAGACAGTGCAGACGATTCGGGAAATCTTTGGAGAGCAAGCAGACAGATACAGCATGGTCCTCTTTACCCACGGTGATATGCTCGAAGACCAAACTATCGAAGAGTTCATCGAGGAAAGTGAAGATCTGCAGGAACTTGTGAACAGATGTAACGGCCAGTGCCACGTCTTCAATAATAAGGAGAAGGATCGTTCTCAGGTCAGAGAGCTGCTCGACAAGATCAGAAAGATAACAGAGAAGAACGGAGGAAGCCATTACACCACTGACATGTTCCAGGCGGCAGAGAAGGCCATAGAAGAGGAGAAACAGAGAATCCTTAAAGAGAGAGAAGAGGAAATACGCAAACAGGAAGAGGAAATGGAAAAGAGATTAGATACGAAGTATGAGGAACAATTAAAAAAAATCAAAGAGGATAGGGAGAGGTCAGAAAGGCAGATGGAAGCTCATGAAAGAGAAATGGAGGAGGAGATGAGGAGAAAAAGAGAAAAGCAGGAAAAGCAAAAAGAAGCTAGCAAAAAAGAAATGGAGGAGGGGATGAGGAGATTAAGAGAAGAGGAGGAAAGGCTGAGAGAAGCTAGCAAAAGATCAACAGAGGAGGAGAGGAGGAGAATACAAGAAGAGGGGGAAAGGGTGAGAGAAGCTCACAAAAGAGAAATGGAGGAGGAAAAGAGGAGAATAGGAGAAGAGGAGGGCAGGAGGGCCAGGAAGGATGCTGAGGACAGCACTTCATGGTTTGACGACTTTTGTTCCGCTGCGAAAACAGGTCTGACCGCTGTGGAACAAGGTCTGACCGCTGTGAGAAAAGGTGTGAGATCTTTGTCTTTGATCTTTGGGCGTCGATGATACAGCCTGACCCTCTGGAACACCTCCTTGTTCATCTTCACAGCCCCCTTTTAGATTTTGTGGTTTGATGTGATTTATAGTAACATCAGTTATTTTAGTGGGGAGTTACAATTACATACTAACAGGGTGACAGATTGTCAACAACCAAGATGTTAACATTCTAAACTATATTAATGTAATGTAAACTCATTTGTTCTTTGATTGCTTTTGCTTTTACAAGAAAAAAGTATAACGAATTATATATCATGAATGAATGCTTTTAAGATGTTATATGGATACGTTTTCTTTGGCTTTCCTGTAACTGAAGGCGTAATGTTGCTTTTTGTCAAATCAAAAGGTTAAAATGTATACATGTAATGAATTTTGGAATTCAATATGAAAAGTTTGGAACACAAATTAATATGTAAAGACAAAAATGTAATAATCAAACATTTCCAATAATAAAAGACGGTTGACTTCACATTGAGGGTGTTATGTGATTTTGTTGTTGAATTGAAAGAAGAAATAATGCCTGAACCCATAAAAATCAAACTGGAAATGAATGTGTGCTAAATCTGAGCGTTTTAAATTGTGGTACCTTTAAGGATTTTCCATTATTGACCTTTATATCCAGAAAATACCTTAAACTCATTAATTATCTCAATAATAGCTGAACTTTTTAATTGGTTTGGACAACCAATCCCTACAGCTTTGGAGAGGAACTTTAGGGAAAATCTGGTAAATACATTTGTTTGTAGCATGACAATTCTTCTGAAAACACAGCCAAGCAGTTTGCATCAACACATGTATCTGAAGGGATAAGTTATCTTGGAACTATTTATCTTTGTTTTAAACAAAAATGTTTAACTCTTTAAAGAAGAGCATGTATCTAAAGGGGAAAAGTCTTTTCAACTTATTTCAGAAACATGTCAGAACCAAAATGTATTAACAGTTATGTAATTAAACTCAAGAATGTCAATTAAATGTTGTAACTCATTTAGTGGCTTGCTCATTGGGCACTTGTGCAGGAAGTGAACCGACGACCCTTCTGTCCCAATGCCAAGAGACTGAGCCACTGCACTGTTTATTTTTGTGTTATGTCTCTGGCAACACACACTTAGTCTTTGAAGTTAAATTTGATTGAAAGAACATTTACTCAAATATTCAAAGATGATTTTGTAGTACTGGTTTCCCAAATCCAGGCTAAAAACAAAGGGTGACAGAGCTTTCTGCGCCAGAGCTCGAGCCCGAGGATCTGAGGCTGGCAAAATCAGTGAAATCTTTTAAATCACTTCTTAAAACTCACCTTTTCGTTAAAGCTTTTAACAAATTATGACACCACTCTGATTAACTCGACATCCATGTTCAATTTTATTTTTTTACTTTTTTAATTTAATATGTACGTTTAAGAAAAGTAGTCGAGCAACTTTTCTCATGTAAAATCATACAGCATGCCTCAAAAGTCTTGGCTCACCAATGAAGAGCTCTCACATCATAGGATGATCCAAAAATAGATGAGATGGATTATTTGTATTTGCACCTTAAAGGTGGGGTAGGTAAGTTTGAGAAACCGGCTCGAGATACACTTGTTGTTATATTCCATGGAATGATCTTAACATCCCGAAAGCAATGAATATCTTAAGTGCTTTGACAAAAAATCCATAAAGAAAATTCATCTGTGGAAGCTGTAATACTGTAAAAAGCACGACCAATCATTTTAGCCGGCTAAAATTCCTGGATGGCCTACCTGCCTGTCAGCCTTCCATCTGTGCACAAACTTATCTCGTGCCCTCATTGGTCATGTGCGCGTTGGTGTGTGTTGGAGGAGGGGCTCTATAAGGAAGTGGCAGATTTTCTCCGGTTGTGTATTTTCAAATTCTAGCGATCTCGAGCCGGTTTCTCAAACTTACCTACCCTACCTTTAAGTATTATTTAATGATGCACCTATGTAGGGCAGTCTGCTGTACTGAGCATCAAAAGATGAAAAATGGTTTCTTTATCATGCCTTGTACATTAAAATACATTGATTTCATAATGAAGACACAGCAATGTATAATGTATCCTCTTGAATGATTCATGCAATGCCTTGTATTAGCATAATATGACTATAGACATGTTTGTTTATCAGTGCGTAAGAGGACTTCGTAGTGGCTGCAGTTTATTTCTAGCTCACATGTGATAGCTGTTTTCAAAAAATAAATGTGCAAAACTCTGAATGTTCAGGAAGGTTCACGCTTCATTATCTAAAATACCTTTTTTAATATTTAGTAAACTGATCAAAATATTAGTGTTTTTCATTTATCTTCAAGTTGTATCTCGGTGGCTTCCATGCAATTAATTAAAAGTGAAAACATCTTTAAACTTAGTTCAAAGACATGCGAGAACCAAAATGCATTGACAAAATGTACTTTTATGTAATTAAATTCAAGAATGTCAATAAAATGTTGTAACTCAATCTGTGGCTTCATTTATTCAAAATCAGTTTGTGTACCTGTATTAGTGATGTTGTGGGGTCCATGAGTATACAGTCACTTGTGGGGACTTACCTTTTGTTTGGGGGCAAAATTAAAATCTTTACAATGTAAATCCTTGGCAGCATTACAATAATACTTATACTACTAGCACACAATAACAGCTAAAAAACACATAATATAACACTCACACAGGGTCATTATGTCACCTAAGCGTTTTTGGTACTTCTAGTACATTTAGCTGATAATGCTATTTTAATATTTATTGAATAAAAATGATAAATGTAGGCCTTCCAGTAATATTTTCCCTTTCTTCTTCCACCACTGTTTACCAGCCACATGAGGGTGCTGTATCTCAAGGTTTGAAATCAAAGTTCACCTTTCTCTGTTTCACAGCATCTGAGCTTAATTAGGTCACACATTTCAACTCTCATATCATACCTTCGACAACAGTGATTTTTTGCTAAACATTTATACAGTACCTTTGGCATTTAACCACTTAAGCCCGATTGCCCCTGCCGGCAGAGGAGGAAAGGCTAAAAGCAGCTATCAAAGAGAAATGGAGGTGGAGAGCAGGAGAATAAGAGCAGAGGAGGAAAGGAGGGCCAGGAGGGATGCTGAGGAAAGACCTTCAAAAATGGACAACATTTGTACCGTTGTGGAAAATATTTTGGGTTGTTTTTTTGGATAAACAAACAGTTGCACTGGTTTTCATGATACAGTCTGACCCTCTGGAATACCTCCTTGTTATTCTTCACAGTCACCTTTTTGATTTTGTTGTTTGTTGTGATTTATAGTAATATAAGTGATTTCAGTGGATAGTTACAATTAAATACAGGGTGACAGATCATCAACAACCAAGATGTTAAAATTCTAAACTATAGTAATGTACTGTAAACTAATTTGTTCTTTGATAGCTTTTACTTTTACAAGAAAAAAGAAAACTATATACATCATGAATTAATGCTTTTAAAATGTTATACGCAGTGGCGGCCGGTCCATAGGGGCGCTAGGGGCGCCGCCCCACCTCTTCCCATATTAAAAAATAAAAATAAAAATAAAAATAAAAATAAAAATAAAAAATATATTTAAAAAAAAATATATATTTTTATTTTTATTTTTAATGAACAAGGTAAATATTATATAATTGGTATCAGTAAAATGTATAATCTACAATAAAATCTCGTTTAAAATTGTGTTACGATGTCTAAAGTTACTGATAAGTCACATGTTTCCTGCCTGGCCTTGCCCGTGTACCTTCTCTCGTCTGGGGCGCTAAGAGAGGAGCCCTCAACCAGTGCACCAGCAGCCACTAGCAGCTGACTGTTGCTATCTGTAACGTGTAAACTATGCCGCGAAAACATAATTTCAGCCAATCAGCGTCGTCAAATATGACGGTCACGGGGCGCTAATGTCAGCGCCCCGTGCAGTCTGTGAGTAGTTTGGACAGTGACTCGTATCCGGTTGACGCAGTAGTTGATGAGGATGGCTTCGTGTGCAGGTGGAGTCTCCGGACCTCGGTCCCCGCCTAATTCTGTTCAAGAGCTAATCTCCAATCCTTTCGAAAGGAGAAGTTTGGCAGATAAATTGTTGCTTAAAGACCTTGGACCGGACCAACCCGATTTGAATATATCGCAGCAATCTCGTGAAAAAGACAAAACTTATACACGAGGCTTCGCAAGTAGCTGGTACACAAAAAAGGCTTGGCTAGCTGGATGCAAACAGGTAAATGCTGTCTTTTGTTTCCCATGCTTGGATATCACTTTATATGTAGAGAGGAGGTTTCCCATGGTTGTTAGAAGTTTATTAATAAGTGGGCATTTATCACAGAAGTGATTGTTCTGTCTCCACGTTTGTTGCATTGTCTGTGATGTATTTTCCAACGGTTCCTGGTAAAGTAGATGTTCAGGTTGATAAATAATATTTTCCACACTGAAGATTATGGAGGTATTGATCAGTCTTCTCATATTTTTAAGCCTCGATTTCTCCTTTCCCCCCCCCTCTAACATCACCAGAAGTCATCATTTAAGGGGTCATTTCTCGAAAAAAAATTCCGGGGGGAAACCACCCGGACCCCCCGGGCAGGTCACTCCCGGTACGTCAAGAGCCCCACCAAAAAAATAGACCACCGGCCGCCACTGGTTATACGGATATGTTTTCTTTGGCTTTCCACAATAACTGAAGGCGTAATGTCAATGTTGGCTTTTGTAAAATGAAAGGTTAAAATGTATGTATGCAATGAATTGTGTAATTCAATATGAAAAGGTTGGAACAGAAATGAATCTGTAAAGACAAACATCTAGTTATAAATAATGTCCCATAATAAAAGACTGTTGAGTTCACATCGAGTGTGTTATGTGCTTCTGTTGTTTAATAAAGGATCTCAAATATTTGTTTAGGGTCTATCGTAATAGAAATCACAGTATTAATCACCACTGGGTCTCAACTATTTTGGATCTGGGTCTCAAGGATTTTCCATTATACTGTATCCAGAAAATACCCCAAACTCATTAATGATCTCAATAATAATATCTAATAATACAATTATAAAATGCAATAACGTGCTTTAACCAGTAGGTGTCCCTTTATATCAGCTGTGCACCGTTATGGCGTAAATACAGCCTATTAGTGTTGATACTGCAAGGAGACGTATTGTGTGAAAAGAAATGTAAGATGTTGTTTAATTGCTTATATATTTAAGATCCACGTCAAGTTTTCAGTTTTGGCGGCAGTTCCTGTTTGTCTAGAAGTCTTGTCATCAGGGCTCTATACATAGAGTTAACTACGGCAGATATGTCATTTTTAATGCAGCCGAAACGTGTATTACAATGCCGTTATGTGATGACTTTCAAAGAGAAAAGCGAGCACACTCGGAATAATGTATTATTTAATTGTTTTATACAGTCTATGGTTGCTACAGAGGATTGTGGGTAATGTAATGTCTTCGGCCATCCAAAACTCATAGAAAACGACTTGTTTCTCAGAATTGAAGGGGAAAACGTGACAAAAG